TCACCCTGGAAATTATTATTTCTTGGCAAAAATGCAGTGCATTTCTGAATGAAGTAATCCATTTATAGGAATATATAACTATAACAGATTAAGTACTTTTGAAGTAGGAGAATGTGTTGGTTTAATTTTTATAAAATAAACCATACAACTTAGAAACACATTTAAAGTGTGGGTGATGAGTTTATGTCTTAATATTTGAGAATTTGCATACATATAAGTAAAGGACAGGCAGTTCCACCCTCTCTTTTCCTTGAACTTGAGTTGACTCCTTCACATTCACCATAACAACCCATATGATAAACATGTACATGGGCTCTGGAGTATGTGCCAAAACTTTCCAACGTTAATAATGAATGTGTTTGAACTCCATGATATAGACTCTTTAATAAGTTACTGCAAAGATGATGTAATTCTAGGCTGGCATTTCCTTTTCACAGTATACTGTTGTGAATGCTTACTACTAGACTTCAACCTTCAGGGACATTTATGTTTTCCCCCCTTGATAATATATGGCTAAGCCCTTTGGTCCCTTTTTTTTACCATGACAATGATCAATATAGCTTGGTTTGAGTCTTCCCTGTCTAAGAAAGGAAGGTAACCTTGGAAGGCAAATATTGCCATTGTAGACAACTTCAGTTTAATGCACCTTTTCCCATAATGGGAATGCAAGCCTCAGCTGCTCTAATATTTAACTGAAGCAGGTCCCCATTTGCTTATCTTTATAATCACTCTTTTATCTAGGCCAGCTGCTGCTCCTGCTGCTGCTATAGCCACCTCTGTCTAATTGGAAGGAAGTTGCCTTGATATCCTACTGGTTTAAACCTGCAAGGCTGCTACCTAGAACCTGTACCCCAAATTGGCATCTGAAAATGGGCTCATTTATAAATACTGTTGCCTATTTTAGCATAAGAGATAAAATTTTAAACTACAATTTTATTTTAGCCACTTGGCATTACATCACATTCCTTTTACATGAACTGAGTCTTGATAGTTAATTTCATAACCAAAAAATGAATTTAGTTCTACATAATAGTACTTACAACATCTTGTACAAATTAGTCTTCTTTTTTAACTCATTGAGACATTTTTATGTTCCAGAGTAGTTATTATTCCTTCCATTTAACTATTTGGGTCAGTTTAATGATACATTAATAATTATTAAAGTGAATTGGAAACTGTTATATGGTTGGGTTCCTTTAGAGCTCCTGAAAAGACTTAAAATCAAAGCCTCTTTCCAAGTATTATTTATGGCTTATGGTTTGCTTATTTTTTTCTTTACAAAACATTGCTGTAGATCTGAGTAATGAGCATAGCATTTGTGCAACTACCTCCAAAATTTGATCAATCCAACTGTCTTTTAGTTTTATGTTTCACAGAAATAGCACATTAGCTATGATGGCAAGGCACCTTCAATAACTATACAGGTAATTACTTTTCTGTGGCCCCTTTTGTGACAACCACTCTTGGTAGACATTGATTTGTTTAGTCTTGAGAAATATAACTTAAGATAAGAGACAATGCACATTGTGTAATAATGTTATGAACTCTGAACCACTTGTATTGGAGAAAACAAACATAGCAGGTCTGAATTTTGTATTTAAACAAGAGAATTATACAATGCGAGTGTAAAGCAACAGTGGAAATCATTTCTTTTACCCAAATATGCACTCTGAGCTTCGCTGGCATTGAAGGTGGAGCTCTGCAAAGGCTCCCAGCACCTCCATACACCACTTCTCAGAATTACATTAAACCAGTTGGGACATGATCAAAGAATGCAAGGTATAAACCCCTTGAGGGCCTGTGAGTCACTATCTAGAAAGGTTCTTGAAAGGGTAAGGACATTTTATAGTTTGATCAATAGGAGCCTGAGAAGGAGACTGCAGGGTAAAAGACAAGTTGAGAATTAAAAACTTAGAAACTTGAAGAATTGAATTACTACCCTAAGAAAGTTCCCAGGAGAAAAAGAGAGACAGAAAAAGTGAGAGCTTTTTTTTTTTTTCATCAGATCTCAACCAGCAACCTATATTCTAGGTCAGAATTCAGCCAAAGACATTTTGATGATAATCAGCTCTTGCTATCCCAGATCTGATGCTGACACATGCAGAGTTTTCAAGAAATCCAAGGGCCTGCATAGTAGTTTTGGATACATATTGAGAGGAAGTCAAAGATGGGGTTGTGGATTTCAAAATTACATCAACTTTCCCATAGAACATGTCATAGAAAGAAGCGCTTTTCTTTTTGTTTTCCAGTCAGGGTGAAGTTTTACTTTTTACTTTGAAATCTATACAACATAGCGTTGCAGCATGTTTTTCCTCTTTTTTTGTGACTTTCATGTCAGTTAACTAGCTATTGCACTGTGTGCTTAAGGGAATGTAGATTACGATCTTGAAGGAGGCAGTCCAGTTTAATGGCATGGCCACTGCTGCAGTTTAAGAGCATAAAGAAAGGAGCCTAGAGAAGAATTTCTGAGCTCAAAGAAGATTCTAACACAGAGCCCTACCATGAGATGTCACTGTATAAAACTCCAGACTTTTACAGAGCTGCTATTTATGTGATATACCAGAAAGACCCCACCAGCATGCTGGCTACTAGGTGCCAAATCCATGGAAGCAGTGGGCCTCTGTCTATGCAGCAGGGTAGATGTGTGGCCACGGGGAGGGGAGTGATGTCAGGAAAGGGGAGTGATGGAGCTGTAGACACAGCCAGCACAATGCCCCTTTCCCTTTTTCCTACCCAAGTTACACAAAAGAGGCTTCCTATAGAGTAGTTCTCCGTGCATCCATCAGAATTCAGAGGGAAAAAAGTTTCTCTTGATGAGATGTCAAAGAAAGATAGCAAGAGCTGGTGAGAATGGGGAGAAATGAAGGCGAGGGAACCGAGTAAGGAGGTCAGCCCGGTCCAGAGTGTTCTTTATTTGGTATCAACTGCCTCTGTCCATCGCCTAGGCTCTGCTCTCCTGGATTCCATAATTGATCTATAGACATGCCTGGAACTGACTAGGGTGCAGCCAGTCCCTACACGCCAAGAAATGAGGAGCCTGTAAAGGAGGGTCTTCTAATCTGGATATCTTCCTCGGGTGATGAGGTGCCAGTATTTGCATAGTAAAAAGGAATCCTTAACTGCTATCACTTCTCCTCCCTGAGGAGCACCCAGAGGACCCTCAGGAAGCCCAATATGGCAGTTCCCACCACATGAGGCATTCACAGATTTCATGCCACAAATAATATGGAAAACATCTTGAAACAAAACCCTACTTCACAGGACATAAAAGTCTTGTATGCAAAGAATGAGGACCAAAACGATATTTTTAAGTGAACTTAAGATATATATTCATATAAACACTAAACCTTAGAGGTCCGAGAATTCCTCATTTTAGAGGTCACCTAGAAATATCAAAGCTTTCCTGAGTGTTCTTGGATGGTAAAGTGAAACTCCGCTCCCATTTGATGCTTCCTCCAGGGTCTGATCCCTGCTTTCTAACTAACCAGCAGAAAAGGTGGTTAGGACTGCCCTGCAATTCATAGGTCTTTCAGGGCAAACCAGTGAAACAGGTATCACAGCTGCCCTGTTAAGAACCCAAGTTCACTTACCCTAGATTCTGAGTTGGGGCTCACCAACTCTTATATACCCTCTTTCCAGCCAGCCCTCTTAGGCAGTCTTTCTTCTGGAACTTCGTATGATTCTAATGGTGAGGAAAGTAAGAAGTGAAATAGATTTTTGTCCAGGAATTCTTCTTTGTAAAGGCTAATTCCAGGCCTAGCAAAAGTGCCTTCATAGAACAAAGTCAGTCATCTGTGAAAGCCGCGAGATTGGGGATTGAAATTGACAAAGGGATGTGGGCTTGTCTCTAGAAAGGTGACTTTCTACCCAGGGATCTTCCATTTCCATTAATCTGGAGTGGTACTTTAAGAAGAAAAAAAAAAGAAAGAAAGAAAAAGAAACAAAACAGAACAACCAACCTCCTGTTCCAGACCCCAGGCAATCTTCCTGCAGAGAGCAGCAGCTGGGAGTCCTGGTGGGAGTTTTTCATGAACTCTGGCCGGGGGCTTCTTGGAGTCTTTTAAAGGAACATTCTACAGTGTTTCCACCTAGGCCTCCCTTTCCTCTCTGAGAATCTTTCTACTTCATCTTCTATTCTCTGATTCTTCTCTCAAGGATCATTTTGGATGGGAAAATACAGGTGCAGGCTCACAGTGGTGTGAGATTTGAGCTTATTCTGGAGAAGTATAGGTGTTAGGTATGAGGAAAGGAAACAAAAAAACTGACTGCAGTTTCCAATGTACTGTGTGTGCTCTTACTCTCTTAGGGAGCCTTGGCCCTTTGACCAGATTGCTCACCTGCAGATCCCAGGGTCTTTATAACTATTGAATCAATTTTAGGAACTGACATGTAGTGTTGAGATATTACCACTATTTATAGAGATGTATGTTAATGATGAAAGGAAAATGAGTACTGGAATCAAATCCAGATTTAATTTTTTTATTTACATCTTTAAACCAAACTACTTTTTTCCCCAAAATTAAAAATAAGGATTGTTAGCTGTGTTAATGGAAAAACATCCATATGGAGTGCTATACTGTGTTAAGTTTGCCATTGTTATAAATAGTTCAATACCTTTGTAACTTAATGTTAAGATTCTTACAAGATGCATCGAAAGAAAAGTTTGCTTCTAGCTGTCACACATATAATTTCACGCAAGCCCTTGTTTTGGAGAATTTTATGTGGTTGAATTGACATTGCTTAATAAACAATTGAAAAAGTTAAGCATAACCTAGAAGTCATTTAGAACTATGAGTCACTTTCCTGACAAGCCAATAAGGTAAGAGAACCCTGGTTGCAAAACAATTACTAGCCCAGCCTGAGGGACCCTGGAAATATATTACAGGGATCAGTTAAGAAAACAAAGCCGCAGTGTTTTGCCAGGCTGCAGAGAACAAGCTAAGGTTGCTAACCAAACCAAACAACTGTACTGACAATGCCAATTTTTACATTTGTTTCAGAACAAGGGACGCTCAAACAACCAGAGGTAAGATTAACATTTAAAAATTTTATATAACTTTTGCATTTCAAGTTATTTGCTAACTTAAGCAGGCTTGAGCTTGTGCAATATTAAATGTGCAAATTTAAAATGAATAGCAAGAGAAATGGAGGGAGCAACCAGGTGCTTGTGAGTGCCATCAGAGGCTTGTTCACCTCTCTGTTGTAGACCTGGGGTCCAGGGACAATGTGAATGCTTAGTCTAGTACTGTGGGTAAATTATGATACTTGGTGAGGAGGGAAGGGTGGCCATATCCCAGGAAATTGGTAGACATGTCCCCTATCATGAAATGTGTGCCTGCCTCACATTTACCAAAACTTCTGTACTAAAACTTCTGATATTGTTCACCTAAAGATATGGTTTTATATTTCTTGTCATTTTCCATTTGAGCACAAATGTGATTAGTGTTATGTCCTATTGATCAAATCAAGATCTGATAACATTTTCATTTGGACTTATGCAATCTCCTAATGGCTTAGAAGTATGTGATCCCTGTTACTTCTCAGAGTAAAGTAACTTAAAAAAAACACAAAAGAATGAAAAATATGCAGATTGTAGACCACCATGGAATCATGACCTTGGCCTTCAACCAAAAGTAATAAAATTTTCACCTAACTCTGCCAAAATAGCAAAAGGTGTTTTTGTTGTTGTTGTTGTTGTTTATTTGTTTTAGGTGCTGAGAATCAAATCCAGGGACTTTTTTGTTGCTAGGCAAGCACTTTACCACTGAAATATACCTTTGGTGCCATAGCAAAAACTTTTTTAAAGTACCACAGCAAAGTAAAATATAAAATGCATGTGATTAGTTACATAAATGAAAAGTAGTCTGCAAATTTCACAAAAGAATCATTACCAAATGATTTTAACATGTACCAATTATCTCTTTTTAAAAGTGCTATCAATCCCTAACACCAAGAAATAAAATAGCAATAAAAGAATTACATTATTAGTATGTTTTTAATAAGCTATAACTTATATAGTTGACAAAAACAATGAAAAATACAACTGAATGTATGTCATACAGAAGAGGTACCTGTTCCTCTTCTGCATGAGCACATGGTTTACACAGGTAGAGTCTCAAGAGTGTGACAGCAAGAAGCTCCTGTTAGATTACAGCTCTGTAGTGTGTCTGTTAAGTGTGCTTTAGAATCTGGATTCTAGATCAAGGAATACATAACAAGATAGACAATAATAATTTTTAAAAAATAGGCCACAAGTTCTTTTAGGGTGAAGTAAATTTACCAAAAATTCCTTCAGTATTTCATCTGCAGAAAGGTTCTTCTTCAGTGTGTCAGGGTTCCTTTTCCAAGGAAGATGCTTTTTATTTCATTTTAATAAGGTAATGTGAAGTGGGTGTATTTACAGAAAGAAAGTGTGCTAATAAGAAGTGGTTAATAATTTTCACATATTAAAATAATTTTCTCAGGTACTTATATACTCTTGAAAATGACACATAAGCCTATTAATAAAAGGAATTAATTTTCACATTTTTTAAATGTGGCATCAGGTAGCAATAGGTTTTTTAGTGACTTGCTTAACTTTTAATATAAGATGTATGGTTTTTATTTAATGTGTGACTGACTGTACTGAGAATCTCTACTTTTCTGGAGGAAGAGTGTGGGGAGCTCTCATGCTGGCCAGTGTATTTGGAAACCTTAGTTGGTTCAAGGAAGAACTGTAGCAAAAAGAAGATTAAGAAGCATCTTTTCACTCCATAACAATGTGTTCACTTTCATTAACAAATATTCTCCCCCCAAGTTGATGATGAAATCTTTTTAGAGTTCTGGATTTTTTTTTATTCCTTTCCCTTCTTAATAACCTTCTTTCTCTCCTTGAATTGGTTGAAAGTTCTCTTCTGTATGTCTTTTAAGAGCATTTTTGTGAATTTTTATTTTAATTTCACACTTGGTTCTCAAGGTAGATCAGGTTCTGATAGCCACGGGATCCGTAGGCTCCATGGCCACACTCATTCCAGAGTGGCCCTTCAGGGCCCCTTCAACTTCGAGAAGCAAGTTTATCATTACACACCTATTCAGCTACTTTGAATCCACTCCTTAATGCAGGTTAAGATAGAAGAACCAGATGCCAGATAGCAAATGAAGATTTGCTTGTTTTGTTGGTAAAACCAACAGAAATAATTGTCTTTTTCCCCAAAAGAGGAAAGAACACAAGTGAGATTTTTGGATAACAAAGATTTTTTTTTTTTTTAAGACAAACTGTCAGATAAGTGCCAGTTGTGGTGGCCTGTGCCTGTAATCCCAGCTGCTTGATAGGATGAGGCAGGAGTATCACGAGTTCAAAACCAGCATCAGCAAACCAGCCTTAGTGAGGCACTAAGCAACTCAGTGAGACCCTGTGTCTAAATAAAATACAAAATAGGATGTGGCTCAGTGGTCAAGTGCCCCTGAGTTCAATCCCCAGTGTTAAAAAAAAAAAAAAGTATTAAGTAATGAAGCAAGAAATAATTACCAGGTGCTTATAAAATCAGGTTTGTTCTTCAACCCTTCTGGGTAGATCAAAAGAGATTGAGAAGGCCCTGAAGACCGATTCTCATGGTCTCATGGGTTTGTAACTGAGAACTCCCAGAATGGCTAGTAGATAATGTTGTTCTCTCGTTCCCCTTTTCTTGCTGGGGACAAGAGCCTGTTCAGTCTTGGCCTAGGCTTTTGAGAATCCAGATCTGGGAAGAAAGTCTGTGGGACAGGGATGAGAGAATGACAATTAAATGTTGCATTTTAAAATTGTTTAGTGTATTCCTTTTTATTTTTTTTAACTTTTTAGGTGCTTTGAAAGTATAATAAAATCAAACTCTATCAATCGTCTCACGAGCTGATATTCCCTCCTATATTTATAATTTATCACATAGTTCATGCCCACTTTTCCTGCAGAAAAGTTTGTTTGCAGTGTGACTAATTTTCAGTGACTTTTCAGGAAGAAGAATCTGAACCATAAACGGGGAGCCAACCGGGCACACTGGTGTGCCTGTGTCCCTGCTACTCAAGAGACTGAGGCAGGAATATCCCTTAAGTCCACGATTTTGGGGCCTGCATGGGCAATATAGCAGGACCCTGTCTCAAGAACAAAACAAAGCAAAAAGAAGTAAAACAGTAACTCAGTTCAAGAATGTATCATTTAGGTGAACTTAAACGTTCAAAATTTTATGAAGTTAATGATAGTAATAATAAATTATCTCTTAACAAGCCTTACCATGTGGCAAGAACCCTTCTAAGCACTTAATGTAAATTAACTCACTTAATTCTGTGAAGTAGATGCTATTATTGTCCCCATTTTGTAGATGAACAAGCTGAGGCAAAGAGATGTACGGAATTTGAACTTAGTTTTATTCTCTAAGCTGTATTCTTAATAATCCTATTATGTTTTCTTTTTTCACATTTTAAGTTTACAGTTTCTAAATAGGGCTGGTTTAGGGATTCTAGGACTCAGACCCAAAGGTTGAATTCTTTCTTGCCACCCAAGCACTTTGATAATAGAACTTAGAATATCAGATGAAAGACAGTTTCTAATGTACATTAAGAAGGTGATGTACAAGAGAAGTCAATAACGGCAAGATAGCCATCATTATATATATGCCTATTGCAAATATAGTCAGTCGTATTGTCCTTTTTATGGGAAGTCCAGAAAGTTTGTAAAATGTCAGGGAGAATGAGTTTTCCTTTGAAAGCAGTTTTCTTTCACATTATTGGGTATGAATCTGTCACTATCAGGCTTCCCCTTTCTGTGCAGTGGCCACCAAGAGGCCCAGGGTAGCATTTGCCTAATAGTTATTCCAGTACAGCTATCTGTCATGCTCAACAGAACTTTAATGCTCACTTTAATGATCCTGTTTGTCTTTTTAAAAATCCATTTTGAAAGCAGTTGTGGTGAAAAAAAAAAATTACGTTTTTAAAGTTTTTTCCAATTCTTTCCCCTGTGCCTGAGAATCTGCTAGATTTGGCTTTGAGGCCCTTTGGAAGGCTCAAAGACCCTGTTTCAACCATTTGACTTGTGAGTAAAAAACAACTTCAGAAGGAACCCTGAGAAAAATCCATGACTAATGTGTATTTAGCAAAGCCAAATGTGCTCTGAATGAAACCAAGTTTCCACATACAGACACAAAACCCAACATACATAAAAAGAAAATTGCTTTTGTGAAAATCTGGATTATATGGTAGTCATAGACTCGGCTTCTTATCCAGTTGTATAATAAAAAGTGAAAAATCAAGTCCTTCTTAATTAGTGAGATTACCATAGTTATTAGGTGAGAATGAATTCAATGCTTGTGAAATCAAATGTGTAACCATGCATTTCAAAAAATTTAAATCTCTTTTAAATTTTATCTATGGATTCCTTTTCTAAAATAAGAATTCACTTTTATGGTTTCAGAGCTGCAAGTTCTGTTTTTTTTCTTTCCTTTTACTTTTCTTTTTCTTTTTTTTTTTAAGTATTCAGATACAACTGGTCCATAGTTAAAATATTAGACTCATTTGAGTGTTTGCTAAAATCAGAGCTTCAGAACTTGATTTTGAGGTTGCATATTTTTCTTCTTTCTCTATTATGTCAGGTCTCAGAAGAGGAGGTAAGAGTTTTAACAGATCAATATAAGGCTATTATTCATATGGCTTTTCTGAAAACATTTCCCAACCCCAAATGGCTGCCTGGGCTTTGTTCTCCTATTTCCTATAGTCACTATAACTTTTTAAAAAATCACAGTATCTGGAATTGGCACACAAAAGTATTTCTTTTTCTTGGAGTCTTATCAATGACTTGTCAAATGTAATGATGTTTGCTGGGCATATTCCTGTAATCCCAACTACTCTGGAGACTGAGGCAGGATGATCGCAAGTTCTAAGCAGGCCTGGGCAGCATAGCAAGACCCCCCTCAGAGGCAATAGGAGATGGAATGATGTTCAAATGGAAGACTTATTACAGAAATTAAAAGAAATTAAAATAAAATTAAATTAAATAATACAAACAAACTTTTAAGACAGTGTTTTATTCCAATTTAGTCATGCTTTTATTTTGAAAAATACAGCAGTTGCTGAGCTTACAAAATGTCAGAGGTAATGTAATTTCATAACGCCAAATGACCAATACATCTTTGTTTTGCTTTGTTTTACCTTTCTTGGCAGAAACGGACCAATGGACTCCGAAGAACTCCCAGACAGGTGGATCCAGGTGTGTTTCTCATGATATATCCTATAATGACTTCAGTTAAGGAATTGCTATAGAAAGTCAGGTATATTCTTGGCCTTTGTTCCTCACAGCTTGGTATATACTGTATGACCAGGAGGCAAAGTTCCAAAATGTAAATCATTCACATGATGAGTAACCCCAGTGCCACACTCTTTCCACAATCAGCAGTTGGGCTGGTTATTTGCTTACTGAACCACCTCAGGGTGCCTGGCTAATGCTAACATATCCCAGCATCCTCCCTTTGCTCCCTCCTAAATCTGGTAAGAAAACCAACCAGCAAGATGACCCTTACAAATTACAATTTTTCTGAGGGAGTTGGGAAGAGCATACAAATGGTACCTCTCCATTTCAGAAGTTTCTTAATCTTATGTCTGTATGATTTTATAATAGAAGCATGTTTTCAAAATTGAGGACTTTGTGAACAAGTGTCCTCTCTGGAAATCATTGATTTGTCTATAGAAAACAGTTATTTTCTACTTAATTTTGTGAGGTTTGACATGTCATTATGTTAGTGTAATTATTTTGTTAATCTATTAAGCGATGCCTTCCTGAATTTAATTATGAAATATTTTGTTCTGTATGTGATCCTGTTATTACAGGTAAAGGGTATTCACAGCTAAAGAATTCCTAATATATGAACTTGATAATAAATCGAGGGGAACATGAAGAATGGAGTAGCCTTGCTGTAAAATAATGTAGATTATGTGTTTTGTTTTGTTTTCTCATCATAAGCAGTGTTCACCTAGTCATAAAGTTTAGTTTTCAAAGCATTATTGCTTTTAACTGAAACCACACCCATCATAGCCATGCCAGTTTATGAGCTGTCTGGGATTTATAGCAGCTTTGCTGCCTCTGGCTTGAAATTGCCTCACTTGTGTCATGGGATCAGTTTAAATCTTTTAACTACAGAACAAAATTGAGGCCATTAAAAAAAATAGGGTTCTGGTTTACTTTTTAATAGTTCTAACTTTCCCAAGACAATACCCTCTGCAGAGGACTCTCCAATAACATTCAGAAGTTACTTCTCCTGTTTAGTAGGAGCGTATGACCATGAAGATACTATTTTTTTTTCTTATTTCATGTGAGTTGTATTTCTATTTCAGAAGATCATCTAACCTTTCTAAATGTATTTTTAATTTTTTTTCTTTCTCCTATGTTCATTTTCATTTAGACAGTTTCCCTCCAGGGAAATGCGTTTCTATATTTAGAGTGTGTCTGTAGAAACACATTTAACTCTTTAACAATTTATTTTATAGCCAACATAAATTGGGATTTCACAGATTATAAATGTGGCCAAGTAGTTCAATAATAAAATAAATTTATACTCCTTTATCCTAAAGGGGATGGTATTGTATAGTTTTAACTATTTTGGTGTTTCTGTATGTCTAAAAATTTTAGAACTTCATGAAACATAAACTTAAAAATGCAAAAGTACGGTTGTATGTTTGTGAACGTATTTAGAAAAAAATTCTATTAGGTATACTAAGTCTGTATGAGTATCTTTCTCATTTTTCCACATTTTTGAGAAAGCCAAAGGGTTAATAATCTTGCAGGTGAACCTGCTGGTTCACCTATTTCGCCCGTTAGCCATCTTTGGAGTCAGACTTGAATGATGTGTTTAGGATTGGTTGACTTTTGCTTCTCTGACTATTTCTGCTGACAAGGGGCAAAGCTTTGTGGTCCAGAGTTAACCCTTACTTGATGACCCTCTTGCATTGATCCTGATGGAGTCATTGTTTAGCAGGTTTTCACACTTGTGGAGTGTTTTATCCAAAGTATTTAAACTGGTGATCTTCACAGTGGAGGCTACATGGGCAGACTGCTTCCAAGAAGCCCTGCTTATTGTTTGCTTTTACTGTTGAAGTTCCTTTTGTCTGTTTATTTTTTCCTCTCCTAGCTAATTTAGTTGTCATCTCCAAGTGCTAATACACTGATGACTTTCCAGGGCCTAATTTAGGGGGTGGGTTGTAGTAAAAAGGATTAAACCATTTGGGAGGTCAGGTGTAACTACTTCACATCAGGTTCAAATTTCAGAACCATGTACAAAGGTAAGTTATATATCTTCTCTATAGACCTTTTGTGTTGGAAAAGAACTTAGTGCATAATTCCATGGGGTAGGAGGTACTTAGGAAATATTTGTTACATGAATTAATGAATGACTATATACTTTTTCTGTAGGTAGGGGTTGGCTTTCTTGCTTTATAAATTATTCTTGCTTATGTGCTAATAGACTATGTCAGGGTCCACTGGTGGAAAGTAGCAGGGCTCTCAGCCACACTGGCTGGGGATGGGATTGGATTTAGCTGTTTCCTTGCTGTTTGACCTTAGGCAATTTGCTTTCTCTTTGTGTTTCCTCATTTTAAAGGTTACCAATGACAGTACCTACCTTAAAAAGTTGTTTTGAGCATACATGAATAAATACTTGTAAAGTGCTTTTCAAATTGCCCAGTATGTAGTAAATGCTAAGTGGTAGCAATTATCATTCTAATTAGTTTGTATTAGATTTTAATATTGTCTATTTTGGCATTTAGAGAATCAATAACATTTGCCAGTTATTTCTTTGCAAACAGACACTGAATTTTATGTTGAATTTTCATTGAAGCAAGAAGTTACATAATCATAGTCATTTCCAGACTTGGAGTTATTCCCTGCTTACCTAATGACTGTCATGCTCTTTTGCTCATCTTTACCAATATACTCAGTCAACAGTAATGGTTGAGGGTTGTTTTTTTGTGTGTGAAATTAGTGTTTGTCATTACAACAAAGAAACAAAAACTACCAAGGTTGAAAATGCACAGTGTGGAGTTTTATTCTAAACCAAGGAAGATGTGAGCTGTGGGTTTACATTTTGGCTTACTAGCACATTTTTAAAAACATTAGCTCTTTATTAATAATTGTGGATAATATTTGTCTTTGCTCTTTATTTTTTCTTGTCTTCTATTGTGTGCTAAGAAATTTATCAACTTATAATCTTGACTGCTTTTATAAATTTAGTAATGCGTTAGATGCAAATTGTGGTAGCTCTTTTGAATTACTTAAATATAGCAGAGTATTTTCATCAGTTTGTACTTTCCTTCCTGAGACAGATGTTAGTATCAGAAAAACAACACTTGTAACAGACAGATCAATTATTTCAGGAACACGGAGGTGCTAGGCCTTTTTCAAGAACATGAGATCATAAATCTCAAGAAAATCAGAGCACTAGTGTAATATTTTTCACCTAAAGTGGCACTCAAGGTCAAAGTTACCAATTAAATTTTAATACTGAGCTTTAAAGGTTTTTTTTTTTTCAATCTAAGTATAGTAGATACAAGATTTATTTCAGTTTGCATATAATCTGTCTGTATGCCAGGGCATGTGTTCTTTCCTCCAAATCCACGTTTTTTTGACTGTGGTGAAATTGTCCTATATTTGTAAAACTCACTGCATCCTGTATTTAAATCCACAGTCTCTACCTTTTAAAGCATTCAGGCCATTTTTGGGTGTTGTGCTGCCTGTAGGTTAGAAGGAGTTGATGGCAAATGTTTAGATAGCTCACTCCCTTTCTGAGTTTAAGTTACTCATGTAATCTGTGATAACCTTGAACAGTAAATGACAAGATGATAGTTAAATTGATGGGTTCTTCCTGAGATCTTCAGGTTCCCCTGTGCTCTTTGTTAAACTCTTGATTACAAAGAGATACCTGTAACTTTGGCTGTATTTATATTCACCCAGAAGATCTCCTAATCATCTCTAAGTACAGACAGCTTCAAGATGGTCACTTTCTCTTTCTGAAGGGAAGGATTATTGTTTGCCACTTATGCTGTTTGTTCTTATGTGAAGAAAGGAATTCAAATAATCTTTACTTCATTACCAGCTTCATGCCCTACATGACATTAAGCATAGCAGTGTCATTAATTAAAAACATGGTCTCTCTCCACAAATATTTATGTTCTATCTAGAAAAGGAATAGAGGCACAGTTTTGACTGCATAAATGCATATATATATCTATACATATACACACACACACATACAATGTTTTATATATTATAAATATAATATATATATTATATTTATATATAGTATTATATAAATTTTACATATAGATCCATTATGGTGTAACATAGTATCTTAACAACAATTGGTAATAATCCTATAAATATACATGTATACATAAATATCTATAATTACCCCATACACTCAAAAAAGCAAAATAAATTGGAAAAGACAAGCAGATGTGGGCTCAAATTATTTTTAAGCTGGCTTATGTATAGCTGTTTTTATTTATATAAAAATCTGTTATGCTTGTTTAGTATTGAGTTACAATTTAATGTGATTCTCCTTAGTGTTTTAATTTCAAAGGATTACTAAATGCATTCCAAGTCTAAATAAAATTGTTTCTTTTAAATTTGCTTTTAAGTATATTATCAATTTGCTCCATAGAGAAGTTTTATATTTTAGTTTCCAAATAGAAAACATTGAAGAGAAAAATAGCAATGCAGTATTTTTTAAATCATTGACCTGAAAACGTATTTTCCTTCTTTTTTTAATGAGGGAAACTAATATATATTCTTGAAGGTTTTAGGAAATCAGCTTTTGTCTGTAATCCATAAGAAAGTTTCCATATATTGTAATATTTCCATATTAACTGGTCAAATCTCTTTCTGTCTCTTCTGTTATCTCCAAACCTAATTTCTCATCAAATATGTTAGGATTTATGTCCTAATCTAAATATTGGGAGCAAAATTGTGAATGTGTAAAAATATACTTCACAGTGAAAGAAATAAACTTGAAAAAAAAAACTGGGACAGTAGAATCCAGTGATTAAGATTCATTGCAGAGAAATGAGAAATCCAAGGCGTGAACGAATACTGGGGAACATGCTCTGGTTTTTAAAATAGCAAATTCTTTTTTTTTTTTCTGCTTCTATTAAACTAGGAACAATAAGACTAGTTTTGCACTAAGGCAATTGATCCCCTTGTAGTTATTTTCAGGACTACCT